CTGGACCGTTGACTCCAATTTTTCTGAACAAGCCTATCGGATCGGAGGAGAATTATTTCCAACGGTCATCCTGTCTGCTGCGCTGACCATGATTTCCGACGCGTCCGCTTGCCCAGGCTCAAAGTGAGATAGGCGTCAAAGCGGTCCCATCGATGTAAACAAAAGGAACCCGGTCAAATAGAGCAGGACGTGATCTGCCTCTCGTCGCCGCGACAATCGATTCTCGGTCTCTCAACAGGTCTCCAGATACCGATAGAGCCGCTTCAGACGGCGAACAAGTCGGACGATCCAAGTTTGCCGCGACAGATCAATCCGGAAGTGCACTCCTCCTCCAAGAGGAGCTTGGGAGTCGAATTTTTCGCCGCGAACCTTCATCGGAGCCGAGGCTCGACTATCGGGCGAACGGAGTGCGATTCTTTCATGCTCGATTGCTCGGTCGGTTTCTCTGCTGCCTATTTTTTCAGGCAATAACGCTTTAGCCAACAAACGATGTCACAGACGCGGGCGGGACGTAAGGGCATATCGTTTGGGAGGATAGAATTTATCACTCTCGTTAAAGCAGATGCGGAGAAGAGGCGCGGAGGGAAAAAAGGAGCAAGGGAACGGGGTTAACTGGGAAGACAGTCGCTGCGAATCCCCCTTGGCGCGAGCGGCTCCAGAAGCTGATAGTTTCCGCACCAATAGTTCAACGAAGCGCCGACGGTCGCACCAACCGTGATGGCGGTGGCCGCCGCAGCGGTGGTGGTGTTGGCGGTGATGATATAAAAGTGCCATGTTTGTGTTGGGAATGATGCGGAGCACGTAGCTGTCGCTCTTCGCGTCGAGCGGGGACCAAACGGGGCAAGCCGACAGAAGACCCACCGAACGCTAAAGTTCGCTTTACAAGAGTCTTCCCTTCGTCCGTGGCTGCCTGCATCGCTAGCTAGCCGCTAACGAGGTTTGTGTCGGGATTTTTCGATGGGAGTCGCCGGTCTCTACGCAAGCAAGCAAATGCTAAAATTGATTTTCAATTGCTACTCTGCCCCCACGCTCTTGTCCGAGGTGGCCCTCGTGGAAAAAAATTCGAACACTGATGCAACCACAGCCGTTGCCTCTCCGTCGGGATCGCGTTGGTGGGCGATCATGTAGTGGGGAGGAAGGACACGTCGCGGTGCTCGAAGATAGATGCCTCGGATGAGCGTTTCGACGGATCGAAACTAAATATCGAAGCCCTGCGTCGGTCGTCCACGGGCACATAAGATGACCTGCCCGAGACGAAGGCTCACGACCTCACGAAGCGAGAAGTCATGCTCCTGCGGGTGACTCAGGGGAGCAGCGGAGATTCACTTTTAAAAGAATCTAATCAGATTCCCTTGGTAGACAAACATCAATCAGGGGTGTTTCCTCGTGCAGTTAGTCGTCTCCAGTCGCGGCGTCGGTGGACGAGGTTGCGAGTGAAAAATCACAAAATCCAGTCAAGCTGTCACTTACTTGTTGACCGTGGAACTCTAACTCGATTTAGCCCCTCTCTCCGGTAATCTCATTTTGTCGCTAAAACGACTGGGACTTGCATCGGAAAAATCTACGAAAAATTCCATCTTGAAGAGGGGATGAACATCTGACGATTCGGTGGCCCACAAGGTGAGCTCCTCGGATCGGCAAAGATCCGAGAGCAAGACGTTTGTCGAGAACCAGTTCAGAGGCTTCGCGGAACGGAGAGAGCGACGGGAAAATCGAGAGCAGCGGGAAGAAGACGAGGTCGACGAGGAGTATAATGCGCGAGGATTGCTTCTAATTAATCCAGGAATTCCTTATTTCTCGATCCTGAACGGTATTTTGGTTCGGACGGGAACGCGTGTGACGCTTGCTCGCGAATAACGACGGCGATGCCTATGGTCCGGGCCGAACGGAGGATAAACGCGTCTCGGGAACAAATGCGGGCAGCAGCAGCAGCACACAACTTTTGCCCATCGTAATTAGAGCCTCCTCGTCCTTCTTCACCCAGCAGAAACAGCAGCTAGCAGGAAGGCATGGATGGGGCCTGGTTGCATTGCGTCAGGCAGGCGAACGGGAAGGCAGGCGTGCCGACACCGAACGAGCCGGAGGAGGAATCGAGCGCTTGCTTGCCACCCCGCAGCCGAACAAGTTATGAAATATGCGTCTAGAACCAGCGTCGCCCATCGGAATGACGGGAGCAGACGGTATAACCTTAAGCACTTTCTTCTAAGTCGACGACGGCTTCCTTTCAAACTGCGTTCATCCAGCGAGCTCCTCCCGCAGACTCGACCCGAGCAGGGCGAAGTTGGAGTCTCAAGTTCCCCCGCATGAACGCTTACGAAGCGAGCGGACGAGCTCGCAAACGAACCTCAACTCATTTGACACAAGCGGTCACGAGGGGTGAAACTTGAACGAGCGAAATACAACGAATGAGAGACGAGGACAACCGCAATGATTAGAGCGGCACAGAAATTCCTCGATGAATTCTTCGACATCGCATGCCTTGTCCATACGTCGTCCTCCTCCCCCTCCTAGTCCTCACTTCATGCCCCTACTCCACCCGTGTACTTTCACTCCCTCAAGCTCGGTTCCCATTTGTCATGCGTCCTCTACACGCCCCGAGAACCTCTCGACGACGCCGCCAGCCGCTCGCTATGATGTCCACGGATGTCAAGCGCCGGCCGCATGATGATGATGTAGCCAATCCTTTCGTCGTCGCCATCTCTTCTCGGATCCCTTTGAATCCTATCAAACGCGATGCGAGGGAATACGACTGTGCCTAGACATTTGGACCGACCTAGAGGAAAAAAGTATCCGACGCCGATAAATGCTGCCGGCGCCTTCTCGGAGATGATTCGGCCAAAGCTGTCAGTGACAGATCGCTGCCCTTGACAGGGCACGAGATGAATATCGAACTTTAGGCCGTGTATCGTTGCTTCAGCCATACAGCTGACCGCTACGGTGACCGTAACGACGTTTTTCGGGAACATCAATCAGAAGACCACTGAATGTTATCGACGCGCCGTCACCCGCTCTCATCACGGCAATCGATACTCATTCCGTGCTGATAACGCTTGAGACGATGTGTGGGTCAGAATCGACGCGGCATGATGGCTCACACCTCCTCCGAGGAGATTTGCGAGCATTGATGGGATTCGAATAGCTGGATGTCCTGCGAGCGATCCGTCTGCGCCTCCATTAACTGGCTCGGAGAGAGCCAAAGCTTCAGGAATTCCTCAGCCCCATTCACAAGCGCCGGTCCCTCTCAAGGGAAAAACACGGTGTCAACACTTTCAGATAAACGACAAGGGGAGCGTTACAGCACATCCTTGACAAGAGGGAGCATTTAGAAGAGCGTGCCAAGAGCAAACGCTAATGTCGATTCTCCTGGTGTTGCCCGGCGCTATCGATAAGCAACGAGAGCGTTCAGTTTCCCCCTCATGAAGACCCCGAATGAGGACCACGAAATCCGTTCTCTCGGCATCTGTACGGCGACATCGTGAAGGGAATTTTGCGTTTCCTGCTGACTCATTCGCTTTGGATTGATTGACGCGGCGGACTGTGTTTCCGACAGCTACGTAGCTAGGTTGAAAATTTTATAACGAGCGTAGAACCGAGGATTCATGCCCCCGAGTACACAGTGCGAGAACTCTCCACTCCACGGCGTGTCGGCGAGACGAGTGATGGGACGCGTTTTGTTTTGCTGGCTGTGAGGAGGTGCGAATTTTCAGGGACGCGAGAGAGAAGTACGGGAGTGGGATGCAGCTCATCTAACGATCGTTAGAGAGAGGGCAGCCGGCCCAGCGTGCCCGAGGAGTACTTGAATTTGGGTTAACCCGCCCATCCCTCAGGTGACAAAGTTACAACGACGACCACGACAACAACCACAGCGGCGGGCAGTAATTTCGATTTGAGTGCATGGAAAGGCGCCCGAGGCGACTGTGTGGATGCAGACGACCCGGAACTCGATCTCTGCCGAGGTGAACCAACCAACGAACAAACCCGCCTCCGACCCGCAGAGCCAAGAAGACGACGGCAAGTCACCGCTGTGAGGTCGAAGACAGCAAGGAGTCAGATCGTCGAGTCTTGTCATGTTTCGTCCATGTCGGCCCGCTCATTCATCGGTCCAGCTCCCTGCGAGGAGTGGATTGATCAATCTGAGCTTGGGGGGGGGAAGTGAGCCGGACCAAGATGAATGAGAATTAAGCGAGTAATTCCACTGTTATTGAACAACGTTGCCGTGGTAAAACAATACTCTGGTGTCACGTCCCCGATGCGGCTGTCCAGCCCGATCGCCGGTCCCATTGTTGAGGCGGAGCGCTGACGGACGACGGCCAGGGAGGAGGAGGCGACAGTCTCGTACGCAAACAAAAGGATTGCTCCGAGAATTCAATATGTGTCCAAAGTTGAAAGAGACGGACGGACGAACGAACGGAGTCGGAGAGTCAATGCTAGGCAGGCAACAGCGTTGATGAATTGACTCGAGCTTTCGTCGATAGATCCCGCAGTGTTCGATTTGTCTCACTTAAGCAAATCCCTGGCCTGCTGCCTGACTTCCTCTCGAGGCTCCGACGGAGAGACTTCAACGGAGACGCAGACAATTTGTTCGATGTCTTCAAGAGATCCTAAATTAAATTTAACTTAAAAGGGTAGCAGCATCTCGGCGGAAGCTTCATCGCCATTTCTCGCTCGGAGCAGGGCTCGGTTCTCCTCTCCAGTCCTCTATTACTCCCCCAAGTTCTTTTCAACTTGTACCGATGCTGCGGTGCATATTGAGTTTTTCCTCCCCAGAGTTCCATGTCGAGTTTATTTGAGTGAATTCCCTCACAGCGGCTTCCCTCGCCATTGTGGCGGAAGCTCAATTCGACGTCGATTTCGAGCGGGAGGTGCACGACCTGCCCTGAGTGCTCGGAACACGGAAGACAATCGGAATTCGAGACACATGATGGCGGAAGAAACGTCACGAGCGCGGAACGAGATCTCTGACGGCGACAATAAAAAAAAACCGGTTCGTCCGCACTCACCTGCAGAAGGTCTTTGTAGAGCTGCTCCTGGTGCCAGACTCCGATATTCTGGTCGAGAACGCTGGGTTCGAGTCGGGTGAGCATAACTTGAATGATGTTTGAGATCTCTCGCACGTCTGCGCTGAAGAGCTCTTTCGAGTAGGTCTGATGCGAGAGATCCGATGCGAGTTGCGTCAGCGTCAGCGTCAGGTCTTGCTTAGCCAGCTGGAAGGAGAAGGGGAACAACATGAAAATGGGATTAGATTTACGACCAGTAACAACAACGACAACACGCTCGTAAGCACAGATTCCGCTGTCGGTGAACACGCTGTCGTCGTCGTCGTGGACTACGACGTTGGCGACGAGGGCGGCAGCGTCGTAGTTCTGCGCGCCGCGCACGGCCCGCTGCAGATTAGACGGCAAAACCAACCGACCAAACAAGCAAGCAAGAAAATCCAGTCAGGCAGGCGGAGGAGTATAATGCCAGCTCTCTCGTCTGTTAGCTATGCGAGGACAGAACGTGCAGTCATAAAGTCGGCGATGGCCTGTTTAGCGAGTACGTTGTACACCGATTGGTGTGCCCTTCCATGGCTTCACATTGTGTAAGGCTGCTGACGACCTCTCTGTATTCTTCCGCACGCGTATTCACTATCGAGAATCTCGATCCTTCCGCTGCACGATGAGAACACCCTCCCGCAGTTCAGTAGTTCGTTCATTATTCCCACAAGAGATGCTTAGGTAAATTGTACACGCTAAGAATCCGTGATCCCCCGGCTGGGTGGCGGACCGGCTTTGTTTCCACGCGGCAATTCAGCCCGTGGAATATGTGCACAAGCGAGAGACAAACTCCGTGCATAGATTCATGCTCGAGATGAACATCACAAATGTATATCGCCCGAGAGTTGCTTGGACGCTCGGGGGATGATGCTCCGGAAAAAGTTCTCCACGGAGCAAACGTCCTCGCACTCGGCATCTCATGTCAACATACGAATTATAAAGTTTGTCGTTGAGCTGAGTCCCCTGAATCATGCGGAACAAACGCGGACGGCTTGCACCCGGTCAAAGACTAGAAGCTTTTCACACTTGGGCTCACTCACTCACACAGCGAGCGAGTGAGTGAGCTAGTGGCTGGGTGAGAGAGTTAGCCGGCCGGTCGACCGACCGACCGACCAGCCAGCCAGCTAGTCAGTCTCGAACTCCAACACCCACATACATAGTGATTCAAAGGAGAATAATGGCTTGCGGTGCCGTTCTCGGAGTCGTCCCGTCCGTTCGTTCGTTCGCTCGCTCAACGGTCGGGGCACTCATCTTGGAATAATTCACCCCGAACGACGCCTCTTCCTAACTTGAGACCCTTTCACAAATAGTACATGTTGACGGCGCTGACACGCACCCGAGTTCTCGACTGACCACAGCAGACCGACCGACGCGTCGGACGGACGACGGACCGGCCCGCCAAGTGACCGAAAGACCCTCTGACTGACGGCTCATGTGACGGACCCAGAGCGGTCGGCTGATTGGCCGCCTCGTCGTTCCACTGATCTCCCGCGGTGCTCGTGCTCGGTCCGCAGTGGTTTGCGTCCGCGCCGCTGTCAAGAGTTAGAACCTCGAGGAGAGCGAACTCAGGGCCGTATACTTCAGAAGGGGTCCAACGACAGTCTGGGGACGACCGAAGTTCGGTACCGAGTCCGTCACGATTTGTAGTCGCGAAAAAATTCCCAATCGGTGATCTCGCTGAATGTGAACCCGATAGGAGCCGCAGAAGCGGAAGAGAAGCAGTCGCGCTGTCTGGAGACGTGCGAAAAAGGGTCACAATCTCGCGGGAACTACTTGACAATCCGCATGTGCCGCGCTCAATCATCACTCTAACAAACAAATTGCAAATGGTAATGCACAGCACCCAGTCGTCGGATGTTTGGATTCTGGCGCGCGCACGCCGCCTCACGTGCGTTTGCTTCCGGGTCGACTTCCGTTCTCGCGTCAAAGGCTTCGATTAGAATCGAAGCTTTGGTTTTGGTCCCGGGTGTCGTACGCGATAAGCTTGATGATTTCTCCTACACTTTGTCTCGGGCGAAGGTCGAGCAGGAACTCCAACAACCCGGTCACACGAGCCAAGAGCGAAATACACCAGACGAGTGCCCAGGAGTCGGTCGAACTTCCTGCAGCATAGAAGGCCAACGAACGGTAATTAGGGTGACACGTGATGGCCAACGGCTGAGGCGGGCTGACGATTTATGCCCGGAGGCTCAGAGAAGAACTGAAGAGTTGGTCAATAGCCGGCCAGCCAGTCAGTCAGCCAGCCAGCGGGACAGACACCGAGCTGATCTTCGCTGTTGCTGTCCTCCTTAGAGCAGGGTAGCCGCGCCATTCGAGGAAGCCGCGAGGCGCATTTCAACGCAATCTCGTCTGATTGCTAAAAGACCGAGGGACCGACTGAGTGAGCGAGCAGAAGCTGCCCTCAGGCAACCTCGACGTGGAGGAAAGGGCGGAAAGTACAAAACAAGCTCGACCCCGGCCCCCCTGATTCTCGGAGCAAATTCTGCCGACATTTGATACAAGAAAGACATCTCACGCCTTACTGATACAGGTCTCCCGGGAAGCTTCGGAATTCCGTCATGATTGAGTTGGAAACGTGGGCTTGGGAATAGTTCAAGAAAAAAAAGATGTCAGCTGCTCCATTCAGCCTCGATGACAAAGGCCATCGTTGAGTGACAAGAGGAGCTGCGAAACACAGGATGTTGCGACATCTCTACGTGTTCCGAATCAATTAGGCCTCGCCGTCTCGGTTTTTTTTATCATCATGTGCCTTCAATCTTGTCCTCAGCCGGCTTTTTCGCTCGCACGAGCCGCCTCTCTTATGTATTTCGCAGGCGTTCGAAGCGGCGTTCTCCGGCCCATGAGGGAGGCGTTACCCAAAGGGTTCTCCGCTAAACTCGTCAATTTTTATGGGAAGATTTCCCCGTATGCCGATTCCCGCCGCGTAGAGCCTCCGGAACCAGCTCTCGGTGTCGAGATACGCGACCTAAAAGAATTCCTCCTCGTCTGGGAGGATTCTTTCGAGCCACGCAGGCCCTACCTGGACGAGGATGAGAGTACGGCGGCAACGAGGATGAGAATAGAAAGGCGCTCTAAGGAGCGGACGTCACCGAGGAAGCCCAGATTATACTAGTACAAGGTTTCTCCATTTGCCCGCGACAAGGTTAAGGAAATAGTTTGATGGATTGCTTACGATGGATCTCTCCATCCCGGATGGGTCTCGAGCGAGTGAGTGTGTACGGGAGTATGTGTAAGCGAGAGACACTGTGTCTAAAGTGGTTTGAGGAGCCCGGTTTCCTTTTCGGTTAAGTGGTTTCGGTTTGCATTCCGAACGACCAAAAGGAAGAGCAATAAGACCGAGGGGCGGCACCGCGAGGCAGCAGCAGTTCAAAGAACAAAGAGCACTGACTGGAGCAAAGGTGCCAGCGGTGAGTTATTCACAGGTGAAGTGAGAAGCGATAGAGTTCACAGCGGAACTAAAAAAAACGGCAAACTTTGCCTGCCTGCCTGCAGACCGTCGGACGAGCGGACCAACTTGCTGGCTGGCTTGAAGGAATTTTTAATTCATACGCCCTCTTCCGTCTCTTTTCGCACTCGGGTACTCTCTCGCTTTTGTGCACATTAGAAAGCTCTTCGAGCTCTTCTCGCCGCCGCCGCCGCTGCTGCTACCGCTATCGCTGCTGCCGGCGCCTCGTCTTCTCTCAGCTAGCTGACATCCATCCTGAAGAAGTTAATGCGAGCGAAGATTTATATGGCTATCTATCTAATTATGTATTCAAGGAGTCGTCCACTTCCTTTTCGGTCGGTCGGTCGTCGTCGCTTCATTGTGCAAAGCTTGGCCTCTGCAAGCGGCCCGCCGCGAGCTCCTTGCCGTCTCTCGGATGTTCAGCTGCGGTTGTCCGCAATGACTCAGATTATGGGAGGACGAGCCGTCTAAGTAAGAAGAGCCGCGAAGATATGCTATCGAGGCAAGAGAGAAGCATTTGGAATTTTTTCACACCTCGGACTCAATAGTTTGCTCAGCCATTCCTGAACTTCTGCTCGGACGGACGGAGGTCAAGCTGTCCGGAGGTATGGACTCGCACGCTCGAGATTGTCTCCCTTGAACGAGGGGTTTCTCACCGATAGCGTCTGTCCGCCTCCTTCGTCGAACTGGTGGTATTTGCTCGTCTGATAGCGACGGCCAAAAAGCCAAATGAAAGAACAGAGCAAGCAAGGAAGAAAGAATGAATGAACGAACACATGCGTGCAGAGGATGCGGAATCGATGACAGAAAGAAATATGAGCAGATTTCGTCTTGAATCGCTATCGCTCCGGCTTCGACCGCCACCATTACCCGCAGTGCTGAAGCCAATCGAAAGCGATGAAGCCACCATCGGTACTTGATTCGAGTCTCTACCCTCCGACTGAGATCGGAGCTGGGCTCACGACGACGATGCAGTCGCTACCAGGTGTTGTGAAGAGCCACGTGGCGCTCATTGAGCGAATTTTCTAGTGGGGGATGGTTCAGATGTCACCTAAACTCCGCGTGCTCGCAAAGTTTTCTCTCTCACCTTCTATGAAATTAGGCACAGCGGGCGACTCAGGCCAGTCAGCGGGTGGACATACCGACACCAAGCGAGATGAAGCCACTCTTCCCACTAACAACCCATTCCGATGCTAGAGACACTTGGTGATGGCATCCAATTTTCAGCCGAGGAACATGCAATGACCCCATGTAGATGAGCGTTTTCCTCTCCTCATTTCTCCACCCTCCTCCTACTTCCGTCCCTCCTCCTAGTCAACTTTTTTTTTAATTCTCCACGATTTGAGTCTCTCAGTGTTCGATTCCAAGTTACCGCCCACTTCAGATCGCCCCCTCGACCGAGGATGCTCTCTCGGAATCGAATTTTTCGCGTTTTCCCTCCGGCTCGTCTGTTTCGTTTCATTTTCGATCCAGATTCCACCGACGATTCGTCAACAGGAAGTTCTTCGTCAGGGAGTAGGGAATGAAAATCGTCTCCGTTCAGCGAGGATTTGGCGATCGTTCCATCTTTTCATCAGAATCGGCCTCTCGGGTCATTCCCTGACCATTCCTGGGAGGTCGACAGATAACTCGAAGATACACCCAGAGGAGCGGAGACCAGCACCAGACCGACCAGACTCGATGTGTAAGCCTCTCGTGTTCCCTACCCGTTCATTCGTCGACGTTCCTTTATCTCGAAGACGCTAGGTCAACAGAGAGTTGCGCCAAGACGGCGGATCCGCTGATCTTGTTTGATCTGATTAATATTCAGCCGACGACTCGGTGCCGACTCAGCGAACTCGGTGAGATTGTCTATCAAGCGTGCAAATGCCGTTTATCGAACAGGTGCATCGATTCGAAACGACTAGCAGTCCGCAAAGAGGTGCGAACTCGTGAATTCGCTCTCCTGTTCGCTTCGTTCGTCAGGTCGACTGCAGCGGAGCGGCCGAGAGACAAGTGAGCGGCTCCAGACGAGCGGGAGAGAGCGCAAACAGCTCTGATGTTTACGATTATCCGCGACGCCGGAACGCAGCGCACGCGAAGGAAGCGCAGCATTCGCTTATTAGCGGACAATGGGAATTCAGCAGACAGCGGAGAAGCGAGATGCGAGAGGAATAAGGACGGAGATTCCAAGGTCGGCATCTCGGCGGGAACGGAGCCGAAAAGCGAACCGGGAACCAAAAGGCCGGTCGTCGGTGGGCCGATCGACAGACTAGGCGAGCCAATCTAATAAAGCAATTACTGACTAGAGCCGAGCAAAAAATGGCAGCCGTTTACGCGTCATCTAACACGGGAGGTACCATAGAACAACGAATGTAAGCTCGCCGACGGCCGGCCAGCCGATCGACCAGCCTGCTTCGCTGAATGGCTCACTCGTCGGCAAGCTGTGTATATCTGTGTGCGTCCTGTCGGCATCGACCCTGCTTCCGAATACAATATGCTGCGCTTCTCTGTTAAGCTCGCTAGTTCACACTTGATTTAGCTTTAGATGAATCAGCCGGTGAACCCTCGTGCCAATATTCGTCGTCGTCGTCGGCGGCAGCGGTGCCGCTAGGAAACTAGGAGCACGAGCAGCGGCGGACAACGAAAAGGTGCCGGAGAGGAGAAAAATCTGGACGAGAGAGCGCCGAACCCGAAAGAGTACGACATCATAACCACCATCACCTAGCGGATAATCGACGTTCAATAGGTGACCTCGGTCAGGAAGTTTCGACCGATCGCTCAATTCCTCGCCTGTTCGACCGACGCAGCTTTTTCGATGCTCTCCATCGCTCATCACTTCGGGTTCAGAATCGGTCGTTCCGATTTCTCAAGAGAAAGCACCCTCGATTCGGGGTGTGCGTACGCTTGTAAATATATATGCCACGACAATGGTCTTGGGTTTGAAACGGAGATATCCAGCGCTGTCGGGGACACGCACTGAAAACTAAGCCCCAGTCGAAACGAAACAATGGACTCGACCGCTATTGTTCGATACTGAAGAATTTCGTAGAACAAGATGTTCAATTGATGAGGCGGTGCGGATCCCATCTCGCCGTTGCCGACGACAGCGATGGAAGCGAAGTAGACAAATATGTCGCTCGTTCGTTAGAGGACAGAATGAGAAATCACACAATGATTGTGGGGGAACATGGAACACGCACACAGACGAGTCTAGGTATCCCCTTGTCACTCAGTCAGTGATAACCAATAGAGTCGTCCGAAGGTCCATCCATTACGATGTGTTGAGCAACAGTACTCGTCCCTGAGCGTCGGTTGAATAGAGAGGAAATGAGTGGATTTATGAGTTAGGTAGGTACCCACATCGAGACCACTCTCAGAGAGTGAAATCCAGCAGTACCTACATCGGGTTTCCAGTTGTTAGAGGAAAAAGGTAGATGCCCAATCCGATTTCTCGGAGGTCCGTCCGTCGGTGCTTGGGCGGCTCGCTCGCTCGGCTGTCCATGTCTCTCGCTCAGCTCAATATAGGTACAGGCAAAATGCATTGAAAGCTTTCAACAGAGCTCTTGGCATTGAAGCAAACATCTCTCGCCCATCCATCTATCTATCAGCCCACACGTTCAGCCACCCCACCAGTCGTCACGCCGATTCGAAAGCATTCACCTCTGATCTACCGCAGGAAACATAACAGAGATACAAAGAAGTGGAGACATGGGAACTTTCGCCAGCGTGAATCTGAACAGATGTGTTCGTCTTGATAGAGCAGCGAAACGTTCAAATCGAAGTTCGACCGGAGCTCGCCGTAGTTTCCGCTTAGCTCCGAGGCAGTTTCCTCTATTCGTGCTGCTGCTAGAGGAAGTGGCAAGGAGACGCGAATCGTGCGGAGAGCAATAACCGGGACCTTGACAAAAATGAAGCTCGGGCCGAGTCGGCGACTCGCACTTCAAATGAAACCGAGCTCAGTCAAAGAAAGACGACCCCGCCGACGACGTATGCTGACGAAAGAGATAAAAGTATAATTTGATGGCGGTAGCAGCAACGTCATATAAAGTCGGCTTGCTGTTTATGGTCTTTGTTTATGGGGTTAGTTTAATAAACTGGACGGACTCCTTGCTTCGTAGCAGTAAACCCCACTTCCTCTCGCTTCCACTTGCCCCCTACCCCTTCAGCAATTCCCTTCATCCCGACTCGCGCTGCGTCTGTCTCTTAATTGATCACGGCGAAGTGAGCTCTCTCGTCTCCTATCCCCTCCGCAAGGGGAGAGCCGTTGCTTCTCAGAAGCAACGGCACTTATCATCATTGAGTGAGTCTCGACGATCCGATTGAAAACCTCTCCCCTAAGGGGAAATTCCGGGATCGCAGCCAAAGACAGAAAACAGAGGCCACACCGTCGCCGGAAAATTAATAGATTGCGGTACTCACTTTTTCCGACAGATTCTCCACCCACAGAGACTTGCATTGCTTCAAGTCGGGTTTCTCCGGGATCCAATGAACCTCATTCGGATCGCAATGCCACCGAGCGAGACCTGTAAAGTTGACAAGACGATTAAGAGAAATCAATAGCCTACACACTCCCCTAGCTCGTTATCATCATCTTTCATTTAGCGCTTATGATGCCCACTGGATTGGTATTGAGGAGAGGGAGAAGGAGGAGATTATCCGGCTGAAAATCGCACAGCTTGGCTGTATTTATGATCACGACGAATAAGGAGCAAGCTGAGACCATTACTACAGCGGCAGCAGCACTCTGCCGGCGGCTCCGAGAACAGGAGTAAAAGAGGATCACGAGAAGCAATTGGAGCACTACCTCACAGGAGTTTAACGGGACCAGGAGAAAGAGGAGGAAAAAACTCGAGGGGACTGAGGATCGTGTGTACATCTGTATAGATCTCTTCGCTCGAGTAATCCCGGAGCCAGCTGCAAACTCAGCTAATGCACATTGTACCAATCCGGAACAAATAGTGCGCCGTGCCGCCGCGTGCCAAACGAGCGGAAGTCTTCATATGTATTAGCTCAGCTGATCGTATCACTCGAGCAACTCGTCATCGCCGTGGAGCCGGGCTCGTATCGACGGACTCGCATTCGATATACATGTACGCACTGCGAGGTTCCTGGTGAAGCAACCGTAGTTCTCTACGGCTTCCACCTTCGAAAGCGAGTTCGGTTTTTCAGAACCGAAAAAACAAAACGAACTGGGAGAGTCAACGTCCCGACGGAAAAGCATCGAGGCGATGGGGTCACGCGCGTCGCTTCGGGAGACTCACTCCGGGATGCCGCTTTCCCGGAGCTCCCCTGCGCACATCCCGACGACTGCAGGATCGCCGCCTCATTTTTGAATGTGGTGGCCGTGTCCGATCCGCCCCCACCGTTCCTGCTCTGCTTTTCCGGATGTGGGAACATGGATGTCGAGGCACATTTTTCTTCCCGGGCCATCCAGCTCGCTCTCTCGCAGGCTTACTGGATGACCGGCGGCGGCCGGAAACGCTGACTCATGACACCCTTGAGCTCCGGATCCGGTTCACGCCTCATCCTTTTGCCAACGAGCTCCTGACCGGCGGGTAAAAGCAGCGAGTGCAATCAGCGGAGTCGCCATTATCACACCTTCATGTTGGGAGTCGGCCCGCGGGACTCTCCCGTCGCTCCTTCATCGCATGACAGATTAAATCTGAGAATTTCATCGCCGCGGGAGAAACTTGATAGAGAAGCGGACGATCCTGAGGATGAACATGGAGGCTTGTTCCACATGGAGGATCCTTTTGTGACACTAACTTCAACCTTCTCAGCCTGTTCTGGAGAAGAAAGGAGATTTTCGTAAATAGTGTACGATTGGAAGTGTGTCCGATGCCTGAGGCTTGTTCGCGCCCGACGGAGAGCAGAAAAGACTCGGGGAATTCTGCTGTATGCTGTCGTCGTCTTCACATAGCGAGGTGCAAGGTACGCGCTCGCAGGAAGAGTGGAAATAGCGGAAGGAGGCTGCAACGGATTTGCGGGAGTCTGTCCCCGCCATTTTCCCCACGAGCGATTGTTACAGAGAAATCTTTGATTGACGATCTCGGAATCGCTATCGAAGGATTTGGTCACTGTTTACTCCACTGCCTCCGGCGATTCCTTTCCGAATGTTGTCTCTTTTTCTCCAGATTCGTTAGCTGGATTCGGAATCCTATCCAGGCGAATGAATCATGCAGCTGGGACTTCGATTCGGGCGTTTTCGGGAAGAGAAGGGTTCCGAATGAAGCGGGAATATTCAGCTTGAGACCGCAAAAACCCTGCGGAGAGTAATCAGGGAGATCTTGAATCGCTCAATAATTCAATGGGGATCATAGGCTACGGGAGGCAGTCGAGTAGGATTCGAGAATTAAAACGGCAGGATTGAGCAAGGGCTTAATCGACGCCTAGGGAAGACCTCTATCGAAAGCTCCTCGGCATGAATTTATCTTCCGGGATGAGAACCCAGCCGATCGCCGTAGAGCCGGGCCGCTAACGAAGAATCCCACGTAGGTACAAAAACGATCGAGAATCCGCCTCGACCGGAAAGGTCCAAAAGACGAGAGAAATCATACCGAAAAGGTCGCGTGGGTCGGAGGAAAGCTGGAACGGGCTCCGAGCTCTCACGAATAATTTCGGGAGGAAAAGCGCGAAGAGAGTCAAGGACGATCCGACATCCGAAGGGAGCGCGAGTGTGAACCGACTGACAGGCGAGAAAGGAAATATCGTCGATTTGTGATAAAACGCGCAGATAACAAACGGAAGTTCGGGAGTGGAGAGCTTCGAGGATATAGCTCAGGGAAGTCGATCATCCCTCTGTCGCGTAAGGCTGCTGCGGGGAAACCAAGACAAACGAAGGGTCGAGCGCGCGTCGCAGAGGAGCAAGAAGTGCCGGAGAAGGCAAAAAACAGTGCCGAATAAAAATAAGGAGTAGCAGCAGGGGATCCGGAAGAACAAGGCAATGAGCAAGACAGTGCGAACGAGAGACAGGACGACAGGCAGTGGCGGGAGGGTGTGAAGGAGGAAAACAGGATCCGGAACCGTTAGAGGGGGGAATTGCAATACAAAGAACTCGGAGCTCAATAAAAACTAATGAATTATGAATGGATGAGCGGAGTACAGGGGATATCGAGAGAGAGAGAGAGACGGGAGAAGAGATTCCAGAACAGGGTAGAACGAATACCGAAAAATGCGTCGACGAAAAAACCTTCCCCGAAGGTTCACAGAGCTTCGCAGGAGTAAGAAGTGTTTCTCTCCGAGACGTGATACTGGATCGCTCAATCGGGACGAAGATCGGACGCGTTTCCATGTTCGACCATCGGGGAATCAAACTCGCTCGATTGAGTTCAAGCAGAGCTGCTGTTCAGGAGCTGCGAATGTAATTGCCTGATCACGACCGCTATTCCAGCAAGCTGTTCGGTGGCGTGAGGTGGAAAAATTACAATCGACGGCAAACCACGGAGCCTATCGAGTGACATTTCATCCTCTGCGGTCGTCCTATCTAACTAGTCGGATGAGGATTCTGCAAGAATTCCGATGCAGCAAGCACTCCAGAGCACTTGTACTCGTTCCGTGCCTGCGAGACATAGACGCTCGTGGCTAGGTCATTGAGACGGAGGGGGGACGCGGGCGAAGGAGCAAGAGAAGTGCGGCAATCGGAAGGAAAGGCGCTGGGGAGCGAATGGCGTGCCATCGAGCAGTTCGTACTCTGCAGAGCCCTGAGCACCGGAATTCACCGAAAAACACTCATGGTGATTCTCTCGCCATTTTCCCACCTCTCGAGTCTCGGTTTTCGAGGATCGCACGGTGAGGCTCAGCGTCGAATCCGAGGGCGATTGTTTTCTCTTTGTCTTGATGATATCATCAAAATAATTCTTTTCTCGAGCATTTCTGCTCTCCAAATTGCTCCTCAGAATCTCGAAGAGTTCGAGTTGTACATACATAGATGTCAACGAGGAACTCTTCGTTCGTCCAAGAATAACTTTTCCAGTCGTGACTCTAGAAATCAAGATGACGGCTCGGGTGCCAAAGGTGAGCTCGATGATCCGTTCCCCGATCAAGCCCATGAAAGGAACCCTTTGAGGCCGCCCTGTCATCGGATCGGAGCGCTTGGAATCACTTTGAGATTAGAGCGGGAAGAGTTCCATGACGCGGTGTGTCAAATTAAAAGTAATCATCGCCTTTCTGAGAAGAAGGTGACATTCCTGAATAGACAGTTCGCTAGGGCCTCCGCTTCGAGATGCAGCGTCGAGCGAGTGACCCAACTCGTTGATGACTCCCCAAAGGGACATGACGCTCCGGCTCCACCTTCGGATTCAATTCCGCAAACAACTCCGAAATTATGGGAACGGCGGAGTATCTCGTGAAGAATCTCTCTCGAAGTACTCGAGCTGTATGCTCGGAGTCTTGCGAAGCACTGTTGAGCGACCATCAGGATACGGATCAGGATCGAGACAAGGGGCTACAATTCGGAGCGAATCGAATCGAGGGAGCGAGTCATGGTCGATCCATTTTTCTCGCCGATTCTCCTCTTTCCCTTAGCCCGCTGAGGCGTCGATGCTCGAAGTCCGTTGATGTGTTTCGAACATTTATCATTAATGCCTGGATGACTGAATCGACATTCTGCTCCCGTTCGTGCAGGCGTACCTCAAGTGCTCGAAGCTTTCGAGTTGAGAGGCAGAAATCCTCTAAAAACTTGGAAGCTTTCCCGCAAGATATCTGTTATTTTCTACCCGGTGTTGTTCTCCCCGAGGTTCAACCTGGCGCCTCACTGAGCCTCTCCAAGCATGTTCGTAGAGTACAAATGCTTTTTCCTCTCTCTGCTCTCTTTCAGTGAGGGAAGAGCGGAGATTGGCGATAGTGGGTACAGGTCCGAACGTCCGTAGCACGCGAAGGAATTCCGCAGAAGGTCGATTTGGCGGATATGGATCGACAGCTGTGAGAGCGGAGAGGATGGAGATCTTTCTCCGTCTGCGGGTGTCTCGTCCCCGACGCGATCAGAAGCCAAACAATCCAAAACGGAGCGACAATAACTGGTTTCGAAAAAGTCATCCATCGAAAGTCAAGCGAGGCAGGCCATTTTGATGGAGAGCCAATCTCCTCCATTCCGAGAACGAGTGTTGAAACGCACTCGGTCCCACCCATCACACAGCTCCGTCAGGGCGCCTGGCCGATCGGCAAAGGTCATCCGGTGTCAGAGGCGAGGTGATAGGCGAACTTATCTCAAAGTTTCTAGCTTGTTTTTGGTTTTTCACCAAGTGTCGGTGTTCGGTGCCCATCACCAAGGCATTCCATCGCGGGAGTAACGTCCGTAGGTCGCATCAGCATCTGCCGGCGGGAGACGTTCGACGGGTCTGAACGCGAAAAGCGGCCGAGGGATCTCTTCGAGGGATCGGATATCATGGAAGCGAACAGCGGAGAAGTCGAATTCGAAGATTGAAAACGGGGGAAGTGAGAACGGGAAACAGGAGAGGACGTCGAGACAAGGAAATATTTCCCCGAAGGGAAAAAGTCCCTTCACAAGAACGAAATGAATCATACACCCTCACGCACAGACACAAACTCGCGTCGAGACGAGGAGCGACGGTGGAGAGGAAGGTGAACGCGCGGGGCGAAGCCAGAGGGAAGAAGAAGACGACGAGGATGACGCTCGAGAAATAGAAGAGGGAAGAGAGACGTGGCAAAATTTATAGATTAGGCTTTTGTTCGTCGACAACCATGCTGTTTCTTTTCCGCGTTTCCTCCCTAGACAAACTGACAGATAGACCGTTCGCGAAACAGGCAGCGAGACGGACAGACAGACAGGCAGTCAGTCAGTCAGACAGCTAGACCAAGCCCCGCTTGCGGATATACGATGGTGAACGTAGTCCGTCAGGCATGGACGCTCTTACGGAGCAACGCAAGGTGGGGTGGAACTATCGGCGGCTGAGAGAGTGGACACGGAGCGGGAATCGGGCGGGTAGGCGAGAGATATTGACGGCTATTGTTACCCGCCGGAGATGGTCCGCGGAGTTCTGTCATTGGAACGGCAGGTCGGCTGTCCATCGTCAGTTCTTCCTCGGATCTCGCTGGACGACTTTGATGGACGGCGCTTGCAAAGTCAGCTCCCAGAAGGACCAGTCAGACACCTCAACGAAATAGGTCTGTGATGACGTCGATCCCGCCAAGACTACGGCCGTCATCAGTAGCCCGAAACTGGCAAACCCCCAAGCCTGGCCGGGAGAGCGACGATGCGGGAGAAGCGAAAAAAAAAGAGAGAAAACGGGAGACGAAAGCTCGAGGCTCCGGGAGCAGGTAATCCAGGGACGCTCGAGAACCGTGCTGGATATCACTTGCACGATACGTGTGAGGTCTTCATGTAAGTCACCGCGAGCTGAGCTCGACAGCGAGCGCCGACGCTTCGACAGAGCGAGGAATAAGAGAAAACCACTTCGCTAGCGTATTCCGTTATGATGCGAGCGTTCTCTCCCCTGAGACTGCTCCTCGTGGCGTTTAAAGATTGTATTGTGGTCCCAGGGAGAGACTCCGGCGAGGGAAGAAGCGAGAAGGAAAAAGAGTTTTTGCTGAGACCGCACCGACAACGGGGGGGAGCCGGTCTCATATCCAAATGCGTTCGTCTGTCTGGCTGTCTTGCCGAACGTTTGCCTGTCTCTCGAGTAGTCAGTCCGTCAGTCAGTCAGTTAGACTGACTTCAGATCTGCCTGACTCTGCGTCGAACGAGCGGGCGAGCGTCAGTCTTATGCAGCACATTACGTGGAGTGAATTTGCATTTGCATCTACCAACTGAGTCTAGAAGTCGTTTGCTGCACCCAGTTCTGTTCGGGAGCTCACTGGTAGGCTCACAGTCAGGTTGACTTAATTCTCTCGCGAGCGAAGGCGGAATGGAATGCTGAGTTCCTCTTCGCGATAAAGTGAAGTTGTCTCAGGGTCGTCACATTGGAGGCTAGAATTTGGAAAGGAGGGGTGGATTCGCAAACAGTCATCACTCACCTGATGCGCCTCCAGGGCACTTCTGCACGTAAGCCTTTCCGGCTCGAGTCCAATTCCAGTATAGATTCCTCGCCGTCGTCGGAACACAGGATAGTGACTTTGTCGTGTCGACGTAGTCGCTATCGGGATTGTCTTCCGTGGGGACTGAAAAAGATTTTAAATGAAATCAGCTCTCCGGGTGCGAAGGGAAGAATGCCGAGGGGAGGGATACTTTTTGGAAACTGATTCTCTCGATAACCCACGGTGTAATATTGCAAGCCTAAATGTTTGCAGATGACGGAGGCAGTGGCCGCTGAACGCGATCAAGAGAGGGTCTCTCTCGAAACCGCCAGCGTGGCGATAAAAATGACCGCTCTCGTCGGGTGGCAGACCGACATATTCCCCAGAAACACTCTACGTGTACTCCGAAATCCATCAGACATCATGGAGCATAGGCAAGTGCGCAAGAACTACACTCCGGGGTCGCCAACCCTCTGGCTTTGTTTAATTACTATCGTAGGTGGGCACTTGGCGGAGCGGACGGACAGTAGAACAATACTGCGGGGGGAGCCGAGTGAGTGTATGTATGAGTCCGAATGTGCAAGCGCCGAAAAGGGATGATGTCCACAAAACAATGAAGTCAGACCGCTGCTCTAATGTCGTGCCACTCGCTGTGTAGTGGTCGCTGCTGCTCCTGCAACCTTTATGTCCAGCCTGACCACCGAAGGTATTTCAATTATGGCAGCTCTCTCCGCTCAGACCTCGGCCCCGACGACTGATAGCTGACTGTTTGTCGGCATGTCTGTCAGGCGGACGAGCACAATAAGAGAGCGTCTACGCGAGAGTGGTAAGCCACGGCTGTCCAACTTTGATAGGAGGCGAATACCGATCGAGCGAACATGGGCTGGTCATCCGGTCGAATATCGTTGAGGAGGAAAATTAGAGGATAACTCGTTCGGAGGATCAAGCGAAATACGGCCAGCATTTCAAGGAACCGCGAGCCACGACCAACCGAAGAGCCGATTTCTGAAACGCCATTCGGCACGTAAGAGCTCTGTGCACGTCGCAGTCAAGGAGCCATTATCAATTATGGAAGCAGGCTCTAACATCCGAGAAACTGGCACGAGCTCATTCTCCTGGTTAATATTTCGCTCGAATGTTCCCACAAGCTCCTCGGAGTGGTAGCACTTGCCACGCGCGAACTCTTTCGAACAACTGGGGCAGCGCGGAGGCGAACAGAGAATTTTCAGAAAGCCATTCTCTCTGTTTGAATTGCGCTGTGTTACAAGGGTTGAAACTGAGTTTGGACTCCAGTCACAATGTTCCTCTCTGAGATCGCTTGAGTCTTTTACTCTGAGCTGTAGACATACGGGAAACTTCGTCTCGATTCACAGATGCTAGTTGTCCGGGGTAACCCGCGGCAGTGGTGGAGCCCGTGAGCATGCCTGGGGGACGGCCCGCAGAGTGACCATTACCCACGTCACCGCTCACGTCTTCTCTCTCGTGCTTGATTGGCACTCGATGGAAAAAGTTTCGGAAAATCCACTCACAAGGCGCAGGACGCTCCGGAGGCAGCATCGGCTCCTGTGCGAACCTCGGCGTCGGGGGTATGCTCGCGGTCGTTGTTTGTACCGCGGTGATTTCCGCTGTTGGAGGCATGGACGTCGTTGTCGTTGACGTCGTTGTTGGCGACGTAGAGACGACATCTTCCTCTGACGAATTCCGGATCACCGGCTGAGCCGTCGTCGTTGTTGTCGTCGTCGTCGTCGATGAAGCTAAGGACGCTGCAAAGATGTAATGCTGATTAGTTCAAGATTGATCTCCGAGCTGTTCCCGGTTCCCGAAGTCTACGATCCGCCATCGATGCAGTTCACCCCATTGGAGGTTCTCCGGGGCAGCGGAGCATCGAAGATGGTCGCAGACTCGCCGCGCGCTATCAGGTTTAGGTAAATTGATCTCTTTATGCGTCATCGTGGTAATCAAGCACTGTTCCCCGATCGGTATGATTTCGCTTGCGCTCGAACAAGAGCAAACACTCGGTCCTCAACCCTTGCTTGGTTCGCGAGTCCCTCTCCTGAACGCATATTTGAAGAGCTACTCGATGAACTGGATGCGGATCACGGCTGTCCCCGCGTAACTCGATATTTTTGTACATTTAATTATTTTATAGAGATCTTCCCAAATCTGAGCGCCAGAAAAGAGGATATGTCGATCGGCCGACCTTCCGTTTTGATACGGCGGTCTAAAGCAAGCTTGGAGAACTCGTAACGCAAGCGGAGCGCAAGGGAGCAGAATAACAGGGGAAAAGAATCTTCAGCGCGCTTCGCGCCTCCCAGCCGCGCAGGGGCGTTCCGAACGGCGCAATCATCCGTCCAACAAGGCCGTGAGCGTCGCTCAAGGGCACGGACGTATTAAGTAGTTTCACTCGGAAATTCATAATCGACAGCGAGGCCCGGGAGCGACAGATGAAAAGGAAGCGGACCCACCCCTCGGAGTCACTCTCTAGAATTCCAGTGAGCCCGTCGGGATCACTCGCGTCCGCTTCCAGTCCACTAAAGAATGGCCGCATGGGATGAGCTTTCGCGAAGATAGCGATTAGCTCTGAATGAAACAGAAGAATAACACGTGAAGGCAGTTTTCTACGCCACAACGGTTGACAGCTTAGCTATCTCCCCCTCCACCTTATCCCTCCTTATTCTGATCTGCTGCCTAGATCGTACGGATTCTACGAGCGTCGCGGACGCGTGACTCCACATTCCTCCGAGCTGACTGTGCCCCGTCGGAAACGACGGGATCCGAGAGTAAGTTCGAATTATCTCTTTCAATAAATTCGAAGTGCTTCGAGGTGCTTCCTCAGAGTGAGTTCGTCCCGCCTGAAGCTGTCGCTTTCGCTGCTGACATTTCCGGTGGATGTAAGCATTGCACCGCTGACCGTCACGACAGCAGCTATACATCTCGAACTTTCTCTCCCCATCGGCTCGAGATAACGTCATTCTCCATTCTTCCCGGTGGGTCGACGTTTAGTCGTTGTGATATTCTCCCAGAGACAGACACTTCGTTTTTTCTTCCCTCACCGAGGTGACTTCCTCCCCATCTCGCTCAGCCCAAGCGAAGCTTCCATGCGCTCGGGCGGTAGCTCGGTCAATTGCTTCGTTCGTAGTGCAAGGGTCGAATAGAGACGCCGCCGTCTACAATGTTCTTATCTGAAATGTCGTCGGCTCTCTTGCCTTCTTGCCAGACCGAGGCCGCCGCCGGAGCCGTGAACGACGGGTCGTCACGGCTGCGCGATCTGCAAACGAGGGATCGACCTCGCTCGTCGATATCTTTCCGATGTCGTAGTTGACTTGCGCCACCGCCGACATTTGCCTCCTCCGCCTTCGTCTCCCCGCTGTACTCTTCGAACTGAATCTTCGACCGTCCTACCGCTAGGTCTCCGCTCCCCGTCCCGTCATCAAATCAAGCGCGGACGACGCTGCCGCCGCCACCGCCGAATAAGCCCCCGCCACCCCCCCCCCCGATAAGCAGCCGAGCGACTCGAGGGAAAATCAGCTCGGGAACTTGCAGCGTTGCACCATCAGAATGCGCGTCACATACCGTTGGGATGGAAGGAAAATTACTGCAGTCGTGAAACTGTCGTTCGGAAACGCCACACAGTTTTTCAAGAGATTTCAGGGAAAGATCGTCGGAACCCTAGAAATCGAAACTATTCGTCGAAGAGAGGAGCGGAGATTCGTTCGAATAGATACTTTCGTGTCCGTCGGAAGGATCTCAAGATGCTCCACACGGAGGTCGACGGGAGCGGCGGGAGCGCACGATTCGCTCTCGGCTCTCCTTTCACACTGTTCTCCAGTGAAGCTGCAATTAGTGAGCAGCAACTCGTGGATGATTGATGCTGTGTGATAGAATGAGGTTCCGGACGGGCTAATTCGATTCAGCCAATCTCGAGGAGGCCACCGCACAAAAGCAATCAGTTGCCGAAAATCCTCGTTCCTCGCTCGCCCAATCGCGCTCATCCTGTTTCCACGCTCACCGTACTTGGCTTACCGGTTTTCTTCAGTTACGTTTGGTAAAGCGAGCACGTTCGTCGCCAAGCCAAGTAAAAGCAGCCTATTCTGCTTTCATTCCCCTTTTGCCTCGTTCATCGTGCGTCATCGACTTCGTTATATCATCTATCTATCTACCGTCCAGACAGTTCCATCGGAGCCATTGAGCAATAGCGGCACCGATTGATCCTCCATCAATTCGAAAAACGATCCTCCAATTGCCTTTCTCATGAATGCCTTAATTGATCGGATCACTACTAGTGAACTCGGAAGAGATCGAGAGGAATACTCTCTCTCGCTCTGTCCTACCAACTCGAATCTCCGCACGAGCGGACCCAGTGACGCGAATAAGGGAAACGTATCGTTTCGCGAGTTGACGTTCGTCGCGAGACGAGCCGGATACGAATTCGTGTTTGGCGATCGAGAGTCGCGCAATGCCGGCGATAAAGTCCCAGCTGCTAGCCGTCATCAACGTTTTCGGAGTCGCCCCCGAAACACTGTCGCCGCTACCACTGCGTCGCTGCCATCGCCCCAGAGAAGGAGTTGGAAGAGACAACGACGGCTGCGAGACGACGAATGACGCATGACTCTGTTTTCCCCCTAGCGACTGCAGAACGGCGGCAACGTTAACGAAAAGGGACGGAGCGCTGCCGGAGGCTCGTTCAAACATGTCTACGCATATCAAGCAGGGACAGTCAGTTGACAGGGAAACAAGCTCTGAATGGGGGATACGAAGACGACTTCAGAATAAAGAGATACAACTGCTACAATTGAAAAAACGCTCCGCTTGAATCCTCTCCCTTACGTCAGAGGTCAAAGCAATACCACAAGATGATGCCCGGATTCCGTCGATGCGGGCATTCGGTAGTTCCCCACGCGAACCCACCAGCTTGGTAAGATAAGTCCCCCCCTTCTCCGCTCATTCATTAGCAAGACGTTCGCGAAGTCTTATTATCGCGCTCTTTATTCCCCGTGTTGACATCGGGAGACCCTCGTCGCGTGAATAAAAATTGTTTGTCTCCGGAAACGAACGAATACTCTCCGAACGGTGATTTTTGCCCGCAGGACGGGCACGGCGACTCGAAGCGAGCAGCTGATGTTTTAGTGCAACGTTGGCGAATAAATAAATTTTTGACATTTCCCGTCAGTTGGTCCACGACTTGGCTCTGCTGAGAGACGAGCCGAGTTTTCCGAAGCGTGAACATGAAGACTTAGAAGACCTGAGCGAGTGGTTGAGTGGGTGGGTGTATGCATGGATGGGTGGATGCATGCATGCAGCCACGCTTGTGGGCCCTCTCGAAGACGCTCTCGCACTTGGTACACAAGAGCGCATAAAAATACAATTCTCCTCGCTACAGTACAAGTGTGCCCGGATTCGCCGGACTCGAGTCGCGGTGGTCGCGACGTTCGTTCATTTTGACACGGCATCACAGCTTCTGCTAGTCGAAGCACTTCGAGGAAGAGAAGACCCGGAGACGATCGGCGATTCCGACGAATCGCAGAGCTCCAAGGTCGTACATATTTCGTTACAGGTGAGGCGGTGGTGAATTTGTCACAATAGGTGGAGGATCCGCCGATCTTAACGACATACCAGCCGCAATAAATGCCACCAAATATAAATAAAATACAAACGAAAAGACAAGATGAACATCATCTCCGGTCATCATCCTGTGTGCCAAGGGCGAAACGCTTCGTTCCAGGGTGCGTCCCGCCTGCCCACCCGCCTGCGTTGCCGCCTTTCCCGGCTCAATTTCCCGCTCCCCCTCCCCCTCCCCCTCCCCCTCCCCCTCCCCCAAAGTTTCCCCCAACTGCATTCTTCTATGGGTGTACTTGGCCAAGTACGTTCCCTTATTTCTCCCCGCTGTTCCTCATGAGATGTGAGCGGCAGTGGCTTGCAGCTCGGCTGGTCCGTCCGTCCCCGGGTCTCCCGTTCGAGATATGTTATAAATATTAAAGCAGTGACGTGTCTTGCCCACCACCCGCAGCTCTTTTGCTGAACTCTGCGGGACAACTTTTCAAATTTTCACAGGACACGCGTCCTCGGTCGACGATTTCTTGAGCGAATGCGAGCAAGTCGTCTTCACGGGGAACCAGACACGAGAGAGGGGAAGATCAAGGAAGGAAGAGAGCGGAGAATGACCGCGAGACGAAACCAATAGGCATCGATAATGGGATCATGGGTCCGCCGCCGTCGCCGCCGCCGCTGCTGCTCATTTTGCCTAGCAGTCCGCTTGGCTGAGCGAGAATCGCACGTGTCGCAGCGGTTTTTAATAAGAATGATTAGATTTATTGTTGTTCGTTTATTCCAAGCCGAGAAGTATCGCTCAAAGAAAGCTGCTCTACCATGAAGTGGTGCGATGAGTTCAGAGTCTCGAAATAGGTGCTTCGGGGCCAGCACAATTTTTTTCTCGCCATTCCCCCGTCCCAACAGCTGGATGCCGGGCGTCGGGATATGGGAGGTAGAATGGGAGGGTTTTGAAAGTTGACTCCACGTTGATCCGCAAAATTCTACAGCGAGCTCAAGAGGATGAAGGACAGACTATGGTGAGCGTCGATACATACGCACTTTCTCTTTCCTCAAGGCAAGCATGGCAGACTCGATGGTGGAAGGACAGAGAGCGGTCTTGTGGGGGATATTAAAAACTTTTTCTCCACTCGCTAGGCATCGTTGCGAGCGAAAAGTCAGAAAAATCGAACACACCAGATCCACTGGCAGGTTTTGTCGACCCCTCGTCAGCTGCGGACAACCTCCAGTTGATCCGCTACGCCTTCCAGCCCACATCCCTTAGAAACTAGGTAGCTCGAAACTTTTCATTCATCCTTTAAGCTCCTCGCTCCCCTCCCCGTCTGGTTCTGTCGCTCGCAGATTATCAACGAGAGAAAGAATATCAATCCAAGTGAGACGCAGAGAGCGTGATTCCGGATATTTTTTATCCCGAAAAGAGGCGGAGCTCCCCCGCCGTGTCGTCCCGCTGCGCGAGAAGAATCTATCACTTTTTCCACGCGAAACTCACCGAGGGTACAGTTGTACTGAACTTCCAGATACTTGATCGTACCCGGACACGGATCATCGAAATTTTTCGCTGAGACCTGCACACTACAGGACTGCTTGTTCATACACCTGCAAGGATTAAGGAATGGTTTTAGAAGCTGTGAATTGAGGGATGCATTTCTCCGGAGTCTGACACACGTCGCCCCATATTTCTTCCTGCTTCGGTTGCCGCTTTTGACAAACGATGAAGTGCAACGGAAACACCACCGAGACAGCTAAGGCGAACGGTGGCGGAGGGATCCGGTGGGGGAGAATATCAAGCTCGGATCAAAAAGCGCTGACACAATTTTTGGGATCGCGATGCGTACGCAGAAGGGGAGCAGGAATCTGCTTGCGAATTCAAGCTCGCAAGAGTCGTTCCGATCGCGCAGAGACGGCACAGCGACTTCGAGCACACGCAGTGTGTGAACCCGTTGGGAGCCCGACCGGCTCATCGGGAGCGACGGAAGCAAATCCACAAGGAAGCCAAAAACAGGAAGGCAGACTGATTCTCGAGGCAACAAACGAGTCGACTGACCGACCGATGGTTGGATCAGCAAGACAAGAAAATCGAGTTGTCCAAACATGGCAATTCGTCGCCAAGTAATCCCCGCTGCATTGCTTCAGGCCTTCTTTCCTCTCTTCATTCCTTCCATCTGAGCATACCCTTCCAAGCCTCCTGGACAAGCCAGTGCCCATACCAAGTGGATATTACAGACTGTCGCGTACTGCCTCCGCTGTCGCCCTCTTCTCAGTACCCGTAAACCTTCCCGAGAGGGTCGTCGACCGCTTCGGCCTAACATATAGACTCCTTCAGAGGGGGGTTCCCGTGCCGAAGTGAAAACAAAGACCCACTGACAGACTCTCCGCTCCTTATTCCTCGCCGAGTATCGAAGCAGCCCGAGCGTCGACCTTTCACCAGCAGGAGAGCTTCCGAGCTCACCGTGTGAAGGAGGAACGGTCGGGCACACAATCGTTGTCGGTGTTGATCATGAAGAAAATTAGTTCCCCTACCAATCCTTGAAATGAATCCTCTTCTCCTCCACTAAGGTGGCCGGAAGCCCCTTTCGAGCAAACACTCTCTCTCTCAGGGAGCGAACTCTGCTTGACGTGGTGGTGTCAATTGCTCGGTTTGATTCTCTAAGACCACTAGCAGCCTGTTGTTCTTTTCTGCTCAACAACTTGTCGGACTTGTCGTCCCAACAAGCCCCGCAGGAAATGAGGAAGAGGAAAGGAGAGAGCAAGGCTCACGATACGCACCGTTTCTCCATGATGAGATGAGACTTCCACGACATGCAATTGACGGACATGTCGATTTTGGCCTGAGGATTACAGATGCTGACACTGAGACGACCATAGTTGGCTCGTACCAAGTGTATGACGTAATTCTCCTTACACGCAATGTTCAGGGTCATTCCCTCGCATGCATACTCAGTTTGGTACTCTATCCGGTCTGAAATAAGAGAAAAAGAGGGAGTTAGTCGGGCTAGGAGCGTGGTACCGCATTTTATGGGCGCTTTTCAGAAGGAAATTCTCTCATTCGAGGCTTATGAAGTGTTCGGAGGAGCAGATTCTCGATGACAGAGCTCGTTCGGATTCATTTACTGGCTCTCGGCCCATAATAGCGAGCGGGGTCATACAAGTTGCAGTCGGGACTGAATTTTCCAAGAAGACCCTGGCTCAGTTTTGCCAGGTCGGAGTCTCGCTCACAGATATTGCTACGGTCGGAGGGCTACATCCACCTGTCACGTTCCCTTTTGCCTTCGAGCGAGCGGGAAAAGCGGGCGACTGAGAGATTCAGAGGAAAATACTAAGAGACATCATAAGATTCTCGAAGGGAACGTCTCACTCCGTCGCCACCACTCCCGCGCCGTTCAATATTAGCGGGAGCAGCTGCCGCTCGGTGCAGGGTTACGCCTCGTCCATAGCAGGGATTTCTCTGAGACATTGAGACGAATTTCACCGAGTTCGACTGTTGTTCTGGGTGGGATGGGGACTATCCTGCAGAACGAAGTAGACCTGCGCACGGCAGGACAACTCGGAACACTCTCCCGCAGTATCCATCGACCAAGTGATAGAGAAACTGAATTTGAGTCTCCTGAGGGTTCCAATGCATAGGAACGAGGGAGAGGAACAATGCGAACTGAAAGTTGTACAGCTGAGCATCGTCGTTGACAGTTCACTTTGGATGTGGATAATCCGGAGGAACAGATATTTCAGGAGGAGACGAAAAACGCGGTAAGAGCTCTTTAGCGGTGAGAGAAGGCTCGGACGTGTTCAATGGGCGAGTCCACGAGGGGAAAACGCATTCCTTCTCGGGATTTGGGAGTTTCCTCTGAGCTGCTACCACAGGAGACAAACAAAATTCGCTTTCGTGATGGCTCGCCTCAGAGAGCAAGAGCCCACCGAGATGAACAAAGAAGGGAGGACGACAACGGCGGCGACGACGACGACGACGAGTAAGATTGACAGGACGCCGCCGTCGCAAGGAGGATGCGTTCCGCTGCTGCTCATATCATGCAAATGAAAACAAAGACTGTCGTCTTCGTCGCCCCAAACGTTGACTCGACCGTTTGCTCCACTCGCTTGCCTGGCTCCGTGTATCCTCGCTAACTGTCCTGGTCGCAGGCCCCCGGAATACGTCACCGCGCATACCGTCACGACAGCTCATGCTTCGTTTTGGTGGCGGAGTGATGCACCCGAATTGTTCGTGTGTGTAGAGCTAGCGAAGGCAGTGGGTTCGGGTGTCGGTGTGCACCGTTTCTCCAATCCACATAAAACGGACGAGTCCGCGAGAGAGCACACAACAAACGGGCAACAAATCAGATCCGAAGGACACAGCCGTACAAGGTGCACCCGAGGGCCGTCTGTCGAAGGAATAGAGCGGCCTCATAACTCTTCCAGCAGGACAACGACACGGCGGTCCGCATTCAGCGTGGGTAGTCCTTCTGGCCAGCCCCGAATGAGATTCTCGAGTAGCGCATGATCCCGAGGCTGGCCGGCAGAAAATGAGAGCGGGCAAATGTATTTGCCGCTCCGGTGATTCCCGGGGATACCCTGTCCGCGAGTCGGCTACGAAACCAGGCGAGGACTCTCCGCGGCGATGGAAGTCAGAGATGGCCGGACGCCACGGCGTCCTGAGCCGAGACTTCTCGGACAGCTACCCGGTCCGAGGCTCGAATGGAACGAGGAGAGCGAACGACAGAGTCCGGGGTTAGGAATTTGAAGGCGATCCCAATTCATCGAAAACGTCTAAGTCATTTTATTTCCGTACCTGACATTCACCCGATCGGCGCCCGCCTCAGGGACATTAGCTCACCGCGCTCTAGTCATTCATCTCCATACGTCCATACAACCCATCCAGTCAGACGCAATACGAGCGAATCGAAGAGCGGCTCTTATTCCTCTGTATCGATTTTGAGAGCGCGATGCTGCGCGACGCCTTCGACCTGACCGTCGGAGTCCCAGGGATGCCGGTGCTCCAGCGCGGCTCGAATCGACTATGTTCGAAAATTGCAGACATCACGCCAAGAGGAACACGAAATGACTTGTCACAAAGTGAGACATCACTTCTCTAGGGACGACTAGGCAGAACCGCGCCGGCAGCGGCGGAGACGTCTTCTCTAACGGCATCAAGTCCGACAGCAGCAACAACAATGACAATCGTAACCGAGACAACAAAGATTATTGAAATCGGATACGGGACCCGCGCCGGAGCGGGTTCCTCCTTCCGCCTCGTGGGCCCAAGCTCGATGGGATGCTGCTTGCTTACGTTTGTTCCCTTGAGACAAACAATTATATTCCTGTTACGTCGCAGCTGTGGCGTATATCGAATACGCCGGCGGAGAAGGCGCTACGGTCATATGACTCAGGAGCAGCGACGCCAACAAAGCTACCGGAGGATCGGCGGTTCTTCCCGCTGCTAATCGATCCGATTTCCCGAGCTGATGGAAAAACTCAGGTTCCCACACGCTCCGAAGTTATTCCCGCCGTGGAATTTGCTGGAGCCGCTATCTTTGGCGAGTAGTGAGGCAATATGGGCTCCACCTATGAGTCGATTCATCTATTTCGCTGCATCGGCACAGAGACCTACGAAACAGTATATTTGCATACCATGCTACCGAGCAGCTTCACTTCCGGAGTGGCGGCGGCAATCTCGAGGGTCGGGGGGGGGGGGCGAACGGCGGTAGCTAGTGCTGATGCCATCGCCACCGAGCACTCCGGCAAGCCAGGCGGGCTTACCCAGTCGGTCTCGCTTTTAAACTCACAAAGACACAATTTACATAAAAACACCCCCAGCCTCGCCCCTATTAGATTCTACTGGAAGCAGAAGCTCCAGTGCGCTCTCTGCCCCTCCTCCGCGACCGTCGAGGAAGAATGAGATATATAGCGAGCGGGAAAAAGGAAGAAAGACCAGGTCGGCCGGAAAAGCCCGGATTAGAGCCAGCACCGCTCCACAAACCCGTCTCAAGGCACTGCCGCCCCTGCGTCATGTGAGCTGTGTCTTTTCTTCTCTCCCGACAATGTGTATGCGGCCCTTGAATGTCCCTTCGCAAACCGGTTGGATGAGATCAACATTTTTTTTGTAGTGAATTCCTCAGTAGCGCCACGTGCGAAAGTCGTGAAATCTCCCACCGGGTACTTGGGATTTTCAACCTCCCAGCTGTTGTGAGGCCGTCCCGGGGCCGTGGATTTCCAGGCTCGGACTAATCGATTAGGTACTATTAATATCCATCGACCGATACCGGGCGGGACATCGGCATCTGGCTCCGTTGCAGCTCTTTATTCCCTGTCTCGGTCTACGTCAAGGTCCCGGCGGTATTAATCGAGTTAGTCTAGTCCCACATCAGAGAATCGCTCCCTGCGGGACTGGGGACGAAACCTAACCGCAAGGTTTTCCCGGATCCGACCGGTGTCTCCGCTCTTCATTGCTCTATAATGTGATCAAGACCCGTTCTCTCACTTGGAGAGCTATGTACTCGTTGTGAAAGGTCTTATCCTCTGGCAGAGTCCGCTTTGTAAAGAGTTAGACGAATCGGGCTAAACGCTGTTCAGCGTCGATGGATCCAGCGAAGTATACTGCGGTGGATTTCCGAGGTGAATCCGGAACCGCTCTCGAGCCTCTCTCTAGAGAAATTCCCTGACTAATCGATGGGGGCGGAGCAGAAGCTCATCCGAAATATTGATACTCAAGACGCCACGCGTTCCGATCGGGATCCGTACCTCTGTTCCGGGGAGATTGGGTCACTGGCGGGGGAGGAACAACTGGAAAAGATAAAAGGAAAACACAAAATCAACAAAAACTCTCCGAAGCTGAGTGATGACCAGGGACAACATAATATAACAGATGGATGCTCATGCAATAAAGTAAAGCTCGCCAGAAAAATGACTTGCGGAAAAACGAAAACAATTTCTCATGGAGAAGCTTAGATGTTCTGATTCTGGCGATGCCGCCGCCGTTCCGAATCCGCGAAAGAACACAAATAGGACGACTGAAAACCACTGTGGAACAACGAAGGCCGGCGAGCCTCCTCCGGTCGGATAGATGGTCGGAAAAGCCGGACTTGAGTCGTTTGTTCCGGATATTGAGGAATTTCGCGTCCCACCGAAGGGAGCCTATTTTGGCTAGCCGTCAAATCGACATTCGGTCGCAGCCGACGCTAAAGCTCCTGTTTCACTGTTCCAAACAACGTATTGGAAGCCCACCACCACCGTAGTCGACGACGACCTCGGATCCGTGCCGACAACCCCTCCCCCGACCAACTTTCATCCTCGACCTACGAATCCCGGAGTCCTCCGTCGTATCGCACGATGGAAAACGTTCAATAAATCTGTTTTCCCTCAATCGCTGCGGTTGTTATTGTTCGGGGATCGTTTGTGTCGTTGCGGTTGGAGAGGATTCCGACCGAATGGTTGAAGAGCACATTGTTGTTGCCTATGCCTACGGGGTTAGTAGAAATAATGAGGGGTGTTTTCGTTCCCTCGGAGCTCAAGGTGCGCTACTGGGACTCTCGTCGGATTTCCATGCGGAGAGCCTCGCTCCCGCACGCAACGTCTCTGAACCAGTTTGCTTTGATTGCAGTGACGGATTCGATGGCACTCGGTCGCGCCAAGAAGCCATCGTCCATCTCTCCGTGCTCGATTGTGAGTATGTGGGAGTCGTTCCAAGTATTCAGCCGAGACGATGCGAAGCCTCGTACTGCGACTAAAATGGAATCTCAGCGAGCCCGGCGACTCCTCGACATGGGTGAATCGAGTCAGCGCCTGCAGACAGCCCCTACAATAGAGACTCAGTCAGCTGATAGAGAGCACTCGGAGCGGCATGGCACTGAATCGAAATAAATATCCGTATAAATAAGTAAACACCGCATCAGTAGAAGTCAGGTCGGCTGGCTGGCTGGCCGGCCAGGGTATCGATCGCGCAGTGGCAATAAATCGTTGACTTGTTAGACGCTGCTCCACTCCAAATTGAGTTGCCTTCGCTAACAAATAGTGCAAAGTGGTTCCTCATTGGGGTGGGCTCTGCCACGCGAATCCAAATTTCTCATGGACGGTGACAGCGAGTTCTTGTTGATGAACATCGCCTGAGATTCAGTCGAAAATTCCACGTCTCTTCTAGACTGATGATTTCTCGCGTTTCGCAGCCGGCGACTCCCGCACGAAAGGATGGTCGACGGCACTCGATTAGAATCGGTTCCGAAGAGAACCATTCCATCCGATCGCGATCCCAGCCGCATACGTCGATGAAAATCGGCTCCGTATCATTGTATTTTATGATTCAAATCCCCGCTTCCGCCGATCGCGGGCTCTAATAAAGCATCGTGAGTTGTGAAGCGACACAGCTTTCGTCCGCCGGATTTTAGGGTAACTTCGTGAATCTATCACGCGATGGTAGGATGCGATTTGACCGTGAGCCGATAGTTACAAATTTCTTTCGCTCCATGTCTCTGGCGTTTTCCTTTTTCCCACCTTCTCCTCGGCTATTTGTTGCTTCTGGCTTAATAGGATTTCACAACTCGTCGGCCTGCATACGGGCTCCGATAAACTGGGTGGTTTTCCACGCAACATTCCTTGAGCACAGCCACGGCTCACGGATGAACTGCCGAAAAACTCGTTTTCGGAGAGTTTAAGGCCGACTCGGGCCGGACTGGATTGTCGAGCATTCTTTCCACGTTTGATCCCACATTCGTCTGTTCGCTTTCCCCATCGACTATGCCGTGTTGTTCTGTTGCAGAGTCGCCAATATTCGGCCAAAGAGAGCGAAGAGCAGTAAGCAGAACAGAGACCGCTGAAAAAAGATCGTTCTGACGCTTTCGTGACACTTCACACTCAGACCGCGACGCCGACGGAGGACTTCGGCTTCCATCAAGCCAAACAAAGTTTGGATTCTTCGTTTGGGTCGAGACATCGTCATCATCACCGACGTCGTTTGATACGGCTTGCTAAAGGGGAGTCGGAATAACGACTTATAAGAAAACGCTCACCGGTGACAGATCAAGCAGAGTTCAATTCGACATTTCAGTCTACAGACGGGTAGCGGGCGTATTTTGTCGACAGTTGTGTTTTTCTACCTTTTTCTCTCATTCCACTCAATCAGTCAGTCAGCTCGTCGTTTTCTGCTAGTGCTGCTGCATCGCTGATGATTTCTTTCAACTTCCAACAATGACTAGGGCAGAGACGGGCCGGCATCGACAGAATTTAGCGAAGTTCGTCTCGCTTGCAGCCACTGACTGAGTTCCGTGGAGACATCAAGCGAGAAAACCAACTCCGCCCCGGGGCAAAATTTTGTCAAAGCGAAAAAAAAATGGCGACCGACGACGAGTAATGACGCGACATTTCGATGTCGCGGGTTGTGGCTTCACGACTCCGCGTGTCGATTCATCTGCGTCTAGAACTTTGTGTCTACCTGTTTCTGTCGGCCCGCCCGCCCGCTCACTCGCTCGCTCGACTGCCTCTCGGTCCACCCGCGCCCACAATGAATTTCTTCTGGTATGAGCACGAAAGCAAGTGAATCCCCCGATGATAGTCACAGGTAAATGACCACAGGAGGAACGATGATGCCGTGGAAACGACAGAATAATCTGCAACCATCCGCACTGCGCGCGTTAAGCTAGAGAAAAATAATCATAACAATAACAGCGGCAGCAAAACGCCCTCAAGCCGCTGCTGCTGCCGCAACCAATTTTCCGCCGAAAAGGTGACCGTTGTGTCACGAGAACTCCGCCAAATATCTCTGATGTACTTCCAGACACTCGACGTTCCGCAACGCGCTCTTCCTCGCCACGCTCCTCCATATCGCCCGAGTCCGCAAGCGGAAAGTTCGGAGCACCGAGCGGAAAACTTGGAACGACGTTTTCTTGGAAATTCCGGCCCGAATTCCGAATGTGCGATCGATCTCGGCGGTGGTCGGAGGAGCCTGATTATCCTGCCGTACCTCTGTCGAGGAATCAAAAGTTGGAACCGCTTTAGGGTGGTACTGCGTGCGCCATTGGATCATTAGGTATGATGCTTCAGTTTGACGGTCGACGGACCTTTAGAGTCAATGGTTGTCGGAAATGGTCAACGGCAGGTCATTTTACAATTGGTCATCCGTACATCGAGTGAGCGAAGTGGCCAGTGGACGGATGGATGGGTGTCAGTATGTTCATCAGTCTCCGGCTCGTTACGCCGTCATTGAAGTGCCGAACTCCATTACGAGTGGAAGTTTTGGCTTGGTGAGGATCGTCCACCTATCCCGAAACGAAGCCACACCAGGCTTACCCATGACCGACGCTCGGCGCACGAGTCCGCTGTCTGGATCCATAGTTTCAATGCACACTATCGGGACAACGGCAAGTTCGAGAGATGAGCGCAAACTCAGAGAAAGCTACCCGGCCCGACGGATAGACGAATGAACGAACGAACAGATGAACGAATGGATGGATGGATCGTGGGGACGACGACGCAGAACTTATCAAACAGGAGCCATCGACTCGCAGCGTGACATATTACAAATTAGGTGGAGACCTCGCACGCTCCGGGAGCACACGTTCGTCATGGCCGTAATTACCCTAGCTCAGTTGTAGTCGTGTTCGTCGCCGTAGCGTTCGTAGGCTCTCTCGTGGTGGTGGTGGTGGTCGTCGGAGTAGTCGTCGCCGACATCGCGGCACTTGACATCGCGCTGGCGGGGCAACGAAAACGAAAACCGAAATCCATTTTACATCATTAGAAGTGGCCCGCGTCAGTCGGGGGGCTGTTGTGCTCTGAGCTCCTCGATGCCTCGCCTCGACGCAGGAGAATGGGTTGCTGGGATGAATATTTCGGAGACAAGCGAATGACCGGGCTCACTCGACCCGGCGAGGATCTCGCGGCCGTGCGAACCTGCGGCTCGAAGACCGAGTACACTCGCTGACAGCTTTTCGGCTTACGGCTCACAACAGGGCCCAGAGAAGGTGTGGACGGGACGAAGTTCAATTAATCGGTGTTTCTCTACCTCGGTCGTATCCTAGTTACATTTTCCGCCGGGCCGCCGGCTCGTCCCGAATATCTTTTCGCTCTGAATTTTCAATAACGGAACCGAATCCTCTGCTGTCAATTACCTCCGGCGAGATGGACCGCGGCGATTGTCGCTGTTCGCTCGTCCCCGTCTGGCGGCAGGTCGACCGTTCGAACGATCTGCCTGACTAGATGGCTGACTGGTGAGACACAAAAAGATCGTTGCCTGGACACCGTAGGTTCGATGGGTCGAGACGAGGGACCAAAGAGGAGGGCGCATGTTCCACATTCTTCCACATCTTTCACTTGTTGGGCACTTTGTTTGATGTTCTCGAGCTTCGCCAGCCTCGTCTGCGAAATTTACTCTCGCCTGCCTGGTTCAATATATTTCGGTACAGTAGACCGACCCCCGACGAATAAATAGAAGCCACACACCCAAAAACGAAGGTACATATATCCATGACAGAGGGAGGTCTGAGGTAGCTATTGCTGTCGCGCAATCTAATGCTCCGAAGAGACTTTTCAAGTGTCCCATAGCGTCGCCCTCGTTCCGTATGAGGGGTCGTTGACAGAGCACTCGAGTACCCACTCCAGGTCAACTATGTACTTTCTCTAGGGCTCGCATTGTTCCTCCTCCAATGGCCGAACATGGGGGTGATATCATTTTCAAATCTTCCGCGATAACTTCGCCTTGTGTCGCAGAGGATGGTCGAGGAAATTTCATGATCTCGACGGACGCCGTGGGGCAAGAATCCTCACGGATCGGGAAAATTCTCGGGCAAAGATGAATCGTATACCGCGCTCTTATATCATCGCTAGCGGGAAGGTGGGAGTCGGAGGCTGCTGATTGGAAAACACCCGAGAGGGAAAGATGGCCCCGAGTTAAGGGACTTTGCGAAGGATCTTGCGAGTTAGACAACTTATCGGATAGCGGCATTATAAAAGAGATTTCGTTCTCTGTGCCGTTCTTCTTGGTACCGTTTTTAGCTCGCATAGAATGATCCGATTAATACGCGCCCGATAGCCCGACGGAAATCGACATACTCTGGCGAGATAGCTGCTCGCTTGTCTGGATCCTCGTGTGCTCCGAGTCGATCCAATCAATATAATGCCCGAGTTCTCATGCAGATGTTATAATGATAGACAGGGGACACTCTCATCGATTTTACAACGACTTTCGTGATTCTGTTCCGAGCGTTTTCGTGATGGGTGCTCGCACCGCCTCCTGGAAAAGCGTCGAGGTCATTTGGAACCTCCGGGGAAAGATACCCGGTCGCTCCCGTCGCGGAAGAGCTGCGAACTACCTCATAATAAAATCGCCGCATTTCATTACCGTCATAATCGACGATGATCGCTCGAATCTGTGGCTTCAGAAGAAAGCTTATCGCTCGGGCGATACCACGACATCACGGAGGGTTTCCTCGTGAACCATTATCCATGGAATGGAAACGGTGCCGAACATTAAGATCGACGAATTTCGGAAAGGAAGGGATATGAAGGCGTCTCGCAAAGAAAAAACGATGGGGAATTTCCAGCGAAAATTGTGGACGTCTAAACGAATGAATGCACTGAGTCCAAGAAATGATAGTTCGGCTGCTTACTCTCGCACTTTCACTTATCGGGCTGAACGCATGCGCCAAGAGAATTTTTCTCTGAACCTAGTTACCCGATTCCCTGACCCTCAAGACCGCAGCTCCGTAAGTCAGGGGGTGAGAACGAGTGAGCGAATGTCTCATCGACTGGAGGCCGAGGAAACCTGAGAGTCGTCCTCTCTCCCACTCGTGAAACGGACGAACAATCGAAATCTGACCAAAAACGGACCGTTGCGAATGACGCCTCGCGTCATCTGATGAAGGAATGAGCCGAATACCCTGAAGGCGCCGATTAGCCCTCGTTGCTCGGCCGGCCGTCGTCTGTATTGGCCTGGAATCCCCTTCCGATTATGAAGTTTTCGCTACTCCAGGCTGTGCGTTGCACTCACGATGTCCGTCTTACGAAGAACGATGTCTCATGAGCGAGGCAGAATGTACGCTTCTTCAGTGCTGCTACGTCAACGGTCGACACGAGTTCGTTTCCGCCGACTCGCTTTGAAGCAGAGGAGTTGCAGCTCATTGATTTGCCGGCTCTGTCTCAGCCATCGGTTACCGCCCCAAAAAAGGCCTCTCTTCCCCCCCGCTGGAGTTTTGTGATTGAATCAGATTTTTCATTCACTTTTCTCTCGGATTGTTGGCAAAGCGACACCGGAAAAGCTATTGTGGTCGCCGTCGGCGGTCTCGCCCTCTTATCCATCCGAACGGACATTTATCCGTAACTTAACGCGCATCGATGGCGGGTCGGGCGGTCAGGGCGCGAGCTTGAATTTTCGGCGAGCAAGGCGGCATGAGAACAAGCTGCTTCTTGACCGGACACTTATAGCAGACGAATGGCCGCGATGGCTTCACTGCGCGCCTTCTGTCCATTTCGGCTTCCCGGAATCCGAGCACGAGGACAACGAGCGGAGTAGAACACAAGAGTAAGTGTCTCGTGAGGGAGAAATCCAAGCACCAATCTGCGGCTTAAATGTCTGCTCCGATTACTGTCGACCGGCGCGGCGTCGGCGTGGGTGGACGGCAACTCGACGGCGGCAGCGGCTGGCGGGTAGATGACGGGCTGGCGTTCTGGCGGATTGCAGAAGCAAAGAAGGGAGCGAGGAAAGGAAGACTACTCATGACGGCGTAATACATTTTGCCGAAAAGTGGTCACCGCGTAAGGAGAGGCGCTCTCCTGACAATGTCGGATACGTTCAAACGAAACCAGTTCAACCAATTTCTGCCCCGACTCCATTTCTCTTCCTGCAGCGCTCCGTTCGATGCCCGCGCCCATTGAGAGGGGCAAAATCTATTCTTTTTATTAGTTATTGTGGTTCTTGTTGTGGTAGTGGAACAAGGGCGGCGTGAACGACCACGAGCGTAGCGGAAAACCCTACAACCTGGGTCGACGAGAGCCACTCTTCAATCCAGACAATGCGACCGCGGAACAAAATATTTTTTCGGGTGGATTTCCGAATCGGAATGCAGCCGGACATCTCTTGAGCAAACAACGGTTCTCGAATTCTTGCAAAAACGATTATTGAACCAGAGGCGAATCGAATGCTCCGAAAGCCAGCTCAAAAATCGAGTGGGAGGTTTCGGCATGAAGAGAGAATTGCGCAGATTCCAGATAATGTCAGCGAAGTACCACAGACAGCAGACCAACGAGGGAGGAACAGTGTGATCACGAAGGCGGACAACAAGAGCTTCAATCACCTCAAATATATTGTCCGCGTGTGGAAACAACCGGAGCATTTATAACCCCGCTTAACAAAGTGATCGGTGACCTGCGCATCAGTGTCATCGACGGCGGCGTCTTCATCGACGAAACGGCGTTGCCAACGAGAACGAGTCTGATACTTCAGCCCTCCCGTGATCTCTCGGCACAGATGCGGACTATAAAAATGCCTCGATTCGTGAATTTTCGAATTTTATCCACCTAATGAGCGAATTGTGTCAAAACCACTATCGTCGGCGTCGGTCTGACGCATGGGGCAAAGGAAATTTCCGCGATTTAAGAAGCTCCACCCGACGGAAGACGGAAAGACGAATGACTCTCGCGAGGATGGAAAGAGCGACTTTCATCACTTAGTTTCGGCCACATGAGCCTCGATTGCCCCGATACCCCATATAGGTCTTTTCCGGTGCCTCTTTTCGCGAAAGTAGGAGGTCTGCGAGAGACAGCCAATATTAGAGAAGGAGGCGGTGATCGGTCAGGAGTCAGCAAGAACAGAAATAAAGAGAAAGGATGGACGATTCGTCAGCTTAGGGGCGGCTCAGAGTGACCCTGGCCATCGTCATCAGCACCCAAGTGATATCCAATGAAAGTGTACGGATCAATTGAAATACAATTATTTTATTTATCCGCCCCGAATCCGCGGGCTCTCCAGTGGAGCCTCGTCACCGGCTTGATTGCTGACCGGGTGAGATCGGTAATTCAGACAGATCAGAAGCGGGGGGCATGCAGAGGGACAAGAGGGGGATGTTCCCGTAGTCGCATCCGCCGTATATTCGCCAAGGGCCAACTTTGTCCTGAGAGGGAAGCCTTCGGTCAGGATTTCGCCAAGATTGCGCCAGACCGAAGAGGCTTACGTCAGGAATGCACGCAAACACTCACTCAGACTGCTAGCCAATATTACACGGACGTGGACGACGACGAAAGCGGCTCTCTTGATGAGTCGGCAAGCTTGGAGGAGCCGAGCCGATCTCCAAAATAAAAGCT